GATATTTTATTTTTTAACCCCATTTTAGGGCCCTTTTCCCTTTCCTTCCTTCATTTTGACAAATAATGACTTGTTAAGGTTACATGCATCATTTTTCTTTCAATTCACTATAGTTTTTTAGCATATTTAAATCTAAATGACCTAAAAATTAACATAAATAGTAAGTTTATAAACTATCAAGTTGAAAGCTACATTGAAATAGGAATATGGACCAACTCAAATTATATAGATGTTTAAAAAAAAGAGTTGAGTTGGGTTAACTTATTTCTATATGAGTTGTAAAAATATTAATCCAATCTATGTGTGGGTTGAAGGGTTAAATGGACTAACCCATCAACCGATGTGACCTTTTTTGTTCCCTTTTCATAGATATTAAAAAAAATCATACCGAAATATTACATTCCAATATTTCTTACAACTTCAAATTCATATCATACCATGACATAATTATTCATGAGAAGTGAGAATGACAGACAATTGCAATGCTTGAGTGAGTTTCTAAGTTGGAGAGGAGTGAGTAAGTGTTTGTTTAGATTAAAAAATTTGCAATTAATGTTAAAGTCAATTGAGGTTAGTAAATTGATGTTAAAAGAAAAGTTTGTGCCTTTAATGTAATTTATATTTAAATTTTTTTTAGAAACCAATTGAATAAATTAAAATTTATTTAAATGATTTAATTAAAAAGTTAGTTGAGATATATGATGACAAAAATGTATATGAGTTTTCTTGTATATACATTTTCATGAGACTAATTTGATATTTTTAAGAAAAAATATTAAACCTAAAATTATGCTTTTTAAAAAGGCAGAATTAAAAAAATACAAAATAAATTAGAAATCTGGGTATAAAATTTAAATGATAAATTATAAATATTCAATTTTAAAAAGCTAAAATAAATTAATAAATTTTGAAAATATTATATTAAAAAATATTTTCTTTTTACACCCACATGTAATCCTAACAATAAAACATTTTGGCTAATTATGTTGATTTACTACTCGTTTGGTTGGGGAGTTTTGGAGTTCCTCACTCCTTTCCTACTAAAAATTGTGGAATGTGATGTAGCAGCATGTAAATGCCACTTAGAACGGTACATGTTTAAAATACATATTATACCTTCTCCTATTGTTGAAACTTAGAATTTAAAGAGATTTTCAACTCAAGCATCTCTATTGATGATTCTTAAAAGGTAGTTACAAATTTGAAATCGATCATTCTTCCCAAATATTTCACCCTTTAGTTTTAATGCCCAATTTTTCCTAAACTTTTCTGATGTTTAACCGTCCGGTCTACCCCTCTTTTTTCACTTTAACCGGTTCAAATTACAAATGTAATATATATATATATATATATATATGAGATACGTGTCCACCTTTATCTTAAGGGAGAAAAAAATAAATTACGTAACTAATTTAGGCAAAAAGTGATATTTGGGTTCTTTATAACAAGATTATGAGTAAAATACAATAACACCCCTCAAGTTTTTTAAAATTGCAAAGACCTCTCTTTTATTTTTAAAATTTACGCTTTAATCAATTTTTAACACCACTAGAAATATTTTATCTAAGATTCTAAAATGCTTTATTATGTTAATTTAAATTGTCGATAAAAATTTAAAATTACTAATATGCCCTCATGATATGACATCTTCTCTCTCCTTCTATTTTAAAGAATATTATGGTTATATTTATATAAACATATTACAAAATATTAAAATTAGTAAACATAAACTTAAATTTAAATTAATAAAATAAATAAAAATTATATTAATTAATTTATCCCTCATTATATTATATTTTTAATTATTTTATATTTTCTAATTCATTAAATTTTTATTCATGTACATTTAAAATATTATTTTTATCAACTTATCTATCTAAAATTTAAAAATTACTACATGGATAATTTATTTAAATGAATCTTAGACTTGTATACTACATAGATAAGTTTATTTATGTTTACTATTACTTTTATCAACTTAAATATTATAATTATTATTCAGAAACTTAAATGACTCTAAAATAATATTATGTTAAAGAGGAATATTTTAGTCCAAAACATATGATTTGACAGTTGAATGGATGTAAATGAAATCTTTAAAATAAAAGAGAGGTATGTATATTGTAATTTTTTATTTTAAAAGAGATTTATATAAATTTTAAAAATAAAAGAGAAGCATTTGTAATTAAGATAAAATGGAGGATGGGTTGGTGCATTTTACTAAAAAATTGTTGGTACTTTTAGTCTTTTGCCCCTCAACAAGGGCCATTTTATGATTGACAAACCTGAGATACCATATTAAAAAGTCTTCCTCCTAAAAATATTGACTAAAGTATTCCTTTGCAGAGGATCCAAATGTCATTCATCCTATGGTTTAAACAAATTTACATCAATGTCGAACCAAACCAAAATATGAACGGAGAAAAAATAATTCTCATCAATTTTAAAATTGCTGAAAATGAAATATTCAGTTTGAGTTTTTTTTTTAATATACTATTTTTAAAATCTTATTCAAATCGAATCAAATCAAAACACTGATAAATCTGCATTATGCTTCATGTGATTGATTTAAAGTGACTGACTGACTGCTTCTTGGTTGGACCAGATGGTAAAGATCTCTCCTTAAAGCTTGATTCTATGCTGATAAGTGTTACTTTTTTTCACATATCCAGACTTTACAGTTGCCTTTGCCATTTTCTGCAAAATTTCTCTAATTTTTCCTATTAACATATTTCATTGTCCTACCGCTAGATTTCCTACGTATACTGAGGGTGTGACCCGGGGGAATACGCCACAAAAGCTAGAATGGAAAAACATATATGGTCAGATTAGCTTTAGGCTAAACATGTCAACTATTTTTTATTTTAGATTTTCCCCAGATATTCTTTTATTGGAGGCGATCCTGTTCAAAGCGTTATCGAGGCATTAAATGTGGAGGTACTTCTCTTAATAAAAATTTAAATATTAATTTATTATATTGTGAAAGATTAATTTCTTCTGCTAGATTCAATCTTCATGGACACAATGTAACGAATTTACATTAGATGTAAAGCCAGAGTCTAACTTAAGTGTATTGGGCTATATTGCATTTTCATGAGAAGCCTGAGCCTATATTTCGAGTTTGGTTTGGTATCAAAGTGTTAGGCCCAATTGTTTTTGATACAAAGCCCAGAGTCTAACTCTCAATTGTTTCGGCATGATTTTGTTTTGTAGTCCTCCCTACACGCGCGCGCAAATCTTTTGTCCCTTCCTGGCCATCCGGTTACACTGATTTTTTTCGCTTTTTTAATCATGTCTACATTTTCTTTGCTAAAAAAAAAAAAGAAAAGAAAAAATCATGTCTACATTTTCAGTGTCAACTCAAGAAAGTAGAGTCATTTTCTTTTTTCTTTTTGGGATGCCAGATTTTTTTTGAACTCGTCTCATGCGGTTTATGAACACAGGAGTAAACCACAAAAGCACGGAATAGCTAACTTAATATAGCTATTTGACTGGATTAGATTTAAACACTCAACTAGGGGTAACTCTTTCAAAGACAATGTCTATATTCACATGAATTCAGATACTTCATACTGAATCAGCCATAGATCCTTCCACTTATATTGTCTTTGAAGGAATACAATGTAGGCATTTTCTACTTAAGCAGCCGTAGCTCTCTCGAGAGGTATAGCAGATGCTCAGCATATATTTTCCCTGTTTTCTAAGGAATATAAACCTAAATAGAAAAAAAAAATTCAAATAACAAGAACTAAAATTGTCCAAAATCAAACCATTGTCCCTTATAGACACTCTTGAGAGATACGTTACGTTTTGTATTGAGTTTGAAATCAAACGAATTCAAATCAACCTCGTAGACACTCTTTAACATTAGATGCACTCGGGAAGATGTTGGCTGCAGACTGTAAAAGAACAATCATTGAGGACCATCACACTGCTGACAAACCACTGTTACACATCTGGTCGACGAACATGATCCACCTAGTACGCCATCAATAATTCAATCTAAAAGCCTAACATTAAAAGTTAAAACCTTGATGTAATCATGGTGAGAAAGAAGTAAGATAAAATAAGTCCTTGGATGTTATTATCCCCTTCTAATCCTAAGCTAACAATCCCACGCGATTTCAGTACACTGTACAGACGAACAGTTTCACACGATTCTGCACAGCTTATTCTACTGATCCACAACTAAACCTTAGAAACGGGATGAGTCAATGCAGAACAGATAAACAAACGGAGAACAATGTTATCATCCATGATTGCCGAAGTTCTAAAAGAAGGCAGGGAAATGAGAGATCCGGAAAAGAAGGTCCTAGAGAAAATCACTACGGCAATGCAACCAGACATAAGCAAGGAAATACAACATAGCCACGATAGTCTATGCAGATACCTTCTAGGAAGAAACATACATCCACCAAGCACACAAAGACGTACTAATGTTATTCAGTTGGATGAAAAAATAAAGATTATTGTGATAATTCATACAGTAAACACCATTCCCATACTAGTTATTCTGCCAAATTATGCAGACAGGAATAGAAGCTTTTGAGTATTTGCGTCTTTAGCCATGAGTAAATCACGCATTGCTTCCTCTCTATACCCTTCTTTCAGTCAATATAAGGAGTACCTTCTCACATATACTGTCCAGCACTTGCAGGAGTTAAAATCAAAGATCAGATTCATACAAACACGAAATAATATGAAACAAATACATTCGGCCACGCCTTCAGTATATGTTTCAACGCCACAAACATTAAAATCCAGAAAATTGCAATAATTAAACCACCAGGATTCGGGGTGATGACAAGCAACATCAAAAAAATCCCAGCACCTAATGTTAACAGTGATAATTTTTGCCTGCAGTTAAGAAAGGAGTGGCAGAAACAGGGATCTACAAAAGAGTAACATCCCATCATCCCTTACTGGGATGATTGACCCATCTTCATACCATTACTAACTCAAGACTCGAACAAAGATATAGCTTTTTCAAAGTGCATCCATTGAACAAAGCAGTAATATTGACTAAGTCAGCTGTGCGCTCAGCTCCGTAGTCGTAGTTATACCATAGCATCAGCAAATTAACCACAATGGCACATCTAAATTTAGAAATTAACGAGAAACTATAAATTAAATGAGAATTATGTACAGTATTTACGGGAACCAACAGAAACGTATGTAAATGGCCAATTAATTACACAAGTGATCCCAGCTAATCTGCCAGCTTACGTTCCTAAAAGCATAAATTTCGATGCAGTATAAGGTACCGAGCCGTTGGCGCCAATTTCCTATAAACTTTTCCGCTATCAGCACCGACAATGCCGCCCGAAGCCCATCTGACAATCCTCTTGAACGCAAAATGGAGGCAATTTGAAAGCATGATCCAGGACAGCACCTCATAGACGAAATCAAAAGCGGGGTCCGAATGCGAAGACGACGATTCATCCCAATCGTGCCCTTCACCAAATCTATTAAAGTTCCAACCCCCGCCACTGCCGCCGAAACCACCACCATCGCCCCAAAAAGGACCATCGCCATCATCACCGGAAAAGAACCCCTGATGTCCGACATTCTCGGAGCCATCACCGGATAATCTGCGCTTCGTTCGTCGTTTTCTGCGGAGAAGAGTTCGACGAGGTACTCTGCATGAAATAGATTTCACAGTCGGTGGAGCGACGGCGTCGATCGCATTACTCACCGATGAGATTTGCAAAACTCTGAAGGACGGCGATGAAGAAAATAATGGTTCCGCATGTGAATCGCTCAGACAGAGGCTATTGCAAGCATGAAAACTTCGAAGCAGGAGCTTTGCGACTCCTATACCTTTCGCAGCGGCTCCAAAGGCAGCAGTATCAACGACAAGAAAGTCCACCACCGCCATCGTGAAATTTTCAGGATTAGGAAAGGAGACTCAAGCAAGATGGAGTCTTCGCGGGGAAAAATTGAAGAAAGCGAATGAGAGGAGACAATTTCGAATCGAACTGAACTCTCCTTTCCTTGTGGAAATATATATGGCAGCTCTCCCCACAAACGCAACGTGTTTTATTCCTGGAGGCACGCATAGTTTGACTCGGATTCGGATTGCCTGTGAGATTTTTTTTAAATAGAAATAGAAAATCAGCCGCTTAGATATTAAGTTTAAATGCCCTATATTGTGACAAAATCTAATAATATTTGATTGAAATATCCTCATTTATTTTAGATGGATACTCCATTCCATCTAAATCTAAAAGATAATATATTTTGTATTAGATAGTTGCTGATTTTTTTCCCTAAAACAAAATCCAATTTATTAATCACCAAAAAAAAACAAAATCTCCCTTTCCTCTTCACTCATTTTTTTTTTTGTTTGTAAGATTTAATTTAATATAGTAAAATAAGTTATATATAATTAAAGATTAAGATTAAGCACGTCTCTTATGTCATTCTATTTTAAGAATATTGTCACAATTTTAAGTAATTTTATTTGTGATAAGTTTAAAATTTTTAAATAATTTTTGCCATTATTATAAAAAGCGAGTGATTTAATTTAATATTCAATCAAGATGACATTTTTTTATATGATATTCATACAATGACTAATTAACTTTTATAAAATTTTATTTAAAAATATTTTTTATCTATATTAACAAAAAATAATAAATTTTTATTTAAATATCAGCTAAACGGTTAATATTAAAGGAATTTAATGAATTGATTATTTTTATACTAATTTTAATAGTATTATAGATGTTTTTACTTTTTTTCTTATTTTAGATGACTGGGTGTGCCTAACTAATTATTTTATAAATATTTTTATTTTTTTTTAAATTATATATTAACATGTAGTATGCATAATTAATATTTAATATTTAAAATTAATGATGTTAAAATAAAATATAATTTTTGCTTCTATTTATATAATGTAATGAATATTTATGTCCCGTTTTTTTACTTTATAACATTAGGTGCTATTATTTTGTGCATAGATTTATCCTTTAATCATAAAATTAATAAATGCAAAAGTCAGCAAAACCCTGAACCTTTGCTTCTCCGAGATTCGGTGGTAATGGTGTCGCTGAAGCTTCAGAAGCGGCTCGCCGCGAGCGTGCTCAAATGCGGGAGAGGAAAGGTCTGGCTTGACCCTAATGAGGTCAACGAGATATCCATGGCGAATTCCAGTTAATCCTCTATTCCCTTTTACATTTCCAACTATTTTTCCGATCCAGGTTACACGAACAGATCGCCTTAGACAAGATGTGAATTGCTGCTGATCGGCTTGATTCGAAACATCGTGCTGTCTCTCAAATCTTTGCATGAATTCATGTTACTTGAAATCGACTGACTTTTGTTTGTCTACGTAGAATCTCAGAAAATCTTCCCGTGATGGTAATAATGGAGTTTCCGATTGCTTTGGTCCGTTGGGGATGGGAAGTGGATTAAAAAAAAAAAAACAGAGCATATGTTGAATTAGCATTTGCTGCATCCCCTGTGGTTATCTACTTCAGTGAGAGAAATTGGATATCTTAACTGTAGCTGTCTAAGTCATCCTGATTCCGCTGTTGTCAACAGCTGTGGGTGATTGATGTGGAAAAAAAAAAGGAACGAATAGGTGATAAATGGCTCAAATGAAAATTGAAAATTTTCAAAGGATAATCAAGAGAGAGTGGACAAAGTAGTTAAGCTGCGTCTTGAAGTTACACTTATATCTGATGAAAGCAGAGGGAGGAACTATTGGGACCGCGGGGCTGAAATAAAGCTAGATTTTTGAAGTGATTTTGAATTTTGAGTTGTCTTTGATGAACTGCACACGGAGAAAGTTAGATTTCAAGGAGAATGAGATTTTGAGAGGTTGGAGATAAAGCCTTCGTGAAAAATGTATAGCACATATAGTTTGTTAAAAGATAGTGACGATGCAGGGAAGTAACTAAGAAAAATAAGCCCTCTATTTTAGTAGGGTATGAAAAATAAAGCAAAAACTCAAATAAAATGTTTTACTCACTAATTAGTGCACGCACGACTTTCATTGATGGAATTACATGTCGTTCCAGATGTTCTTGGTCACAATTTTCTGTCTGCACTTGGTTGTAAGATCTGAGGCAATGACAACATTTGTCTTGTGATTCTAATGTTTTAATGGCTGATGGCAGGACAAAATATCAGAAAACTGGTGAAGGATGGTTTCATAATCAGGAAACCAACTAAGATTCATTCTAGATCTCGCGCACGGAGAATGAAGGAGGCCAAAAGGAAGGGTCGTCACTCTGGATACGGTGCGGTTAATAATTAGAATCTGGTGTTTTGGGCTGTTACATGATTTCATCCTTTTTCAATCTGTCATTGTTTACTTATTAATTGAAGGTAAGCGCAAGGGTACCAGGGAGGCAAGGCTGCCGACGAAAGTTCTGTGGATGAGGAGAATGCGTGTGTTGAGACGTCTGCTTCGCAAGTATCGTGAGTCCAAGAAAATTGACAAGCACATGTACCATGATATGTATATGAAGGTGAAGGGTAATGTCTTCAAGAACAAGCGTGGCTTGATGGAGAGCATCCATAAGTCTAAAGCTGAAAAGGCTAGAGAGAAGACACTCTCTGACCAGTTTGAAGCCAAGCGCGCTAAGAGCAAGGCGAGTAGGGAGAGAAAGTTGGCCAGGAAAGAGGAGCGGTTGGCACAGGTATGATTGGCCTCTTTTGCCTCTCATTCACTCATACATTAGAAGGTTTAGCAATTGGCTGTATAGTGGTCCTGCTTGCTTGTGGTGATCTTTATGAAGCTTAACCTCTTTGAAATTTTCATTTGCATAAATGCTTCATGATCTAACTTGGCATTTGAATAATTCAGGGACCTGTTGAAAGGGCACCGGCAGCTGCATCACAACCACAGTCTGAGTAAGCATGTTCTGTTTAAATTTACTGTTTCTGCATTTTTTTGGCTCTTCACACATGTAAAAAATTAAGTATCATTCTTATAGGGGAGCCAAGAAAACAAAGAAGTAATTGTAGAGAACCCTAGAGCATGAATACTGGAGAATGCAGACTGATCCGCGTTTATGCTTAATAGGAATTTTTTTTTTTTTTAAAGCCTTGTTTCCCCTCAATGTATTGAAGTAATTTTGTTTTTCTGCGACAGTCAAACTAACTGTAATGCTATTTTGTAAGTGTTGAATTGTATGGTTTTCATCTTGGTAAATTGGGCTTCAGTATCATTTTCCCTCAGTGACCTGTGAGAAAATCATTCGCAGGAAAGTAATCATCTTATGATCTTAACTGATTACACTATTCCACACGTTATCACCAATTCTTGTACCAATTGCACCATCGTTGATGCAGTCCTATTCTCGCCGTACGACCTCTTCTGAAAGAGATCAATTGAATAGAATGCGACGACATGGTATATGTGACAAGTGGATTTCACCGTGTTCTTTTGTCTCTTGCCCGATCCTAAGTGTAGCGAGGGGCTCTAGATTCTCGTTGATGAATTGAAAAGCTGGGCGTTTTGTTATCTTTGCTATCGGAGAAAATCACCAAGCAAAGAAATACCCCACGGAGGGTAGGGGAGGATCAGAAATACTCTCTCCGGTTTTATTTATAAGTTATTTTTATTAACTTCATCAATATCAATACAATAAAAATATAAAAAATAAAAATAAGTAAAATTTCAAATATAATCCTTATATAAAAAGCAAAAAGTAAGTCAATTATATAATATTATTTTTTTATCTTTCTTTCTCTTACTTTTTAAGAATAATTTAAAAATTTCAATTTGAAACAAAACAATCTTATCAAAAAAAACTTATAAAGTAAATTAAATTATGTTTTAAAAGTAACATATATATATACTAGATTAGAGGAGTACGTACTACATAGCAGCCTGATGGCTGGTAAGCAGTCGGGTAGGCTTGCATTAAGATCGATCTGATGAAATGTAGATTTGAGGTCCACAAAGTTACATGAACTTGCCACAGCCACAGACACGCCGGGTTAAGTCTCATCCAAGTATTAAAGCTTGCCTCCTATTATCTTGAAACATTTTTTTTTTTATAAAGTTTTTTGGGGGTATCTTGTAACAGTCTTTGGTGTTAACACGCCGGGTTATGAATGCGCGCACACGCACACACGTATTCGTTTTCTTTGGGGGTTCAACGGTAAACAATCTTACTTGGAATAGCGTAATTTGTTTTTGGCTTTTAAATATCATAAATGGTTAAAACATCATATAAGTCTAACTTTTTGTGACACATCCCTCCCATCAATATTACAGAGCACTTGGAATTTTTTTTTTTTTTTGGTAAATGAAAATTCAGATGATTCAGATCTCAAAGGTTCAGTAGATTAAGATTGGTTTTACAGTTGAAAAAACATTTTTAAGCCACTGATACAGATATTTGCGAACATGTCTTCGCATTTCTAGTGTGATTTAACTTTATGTTCTTGTATGACATGAAACTAATATTTGGACGACGTTTTACTTGGGTTTGAATGATGGTATCCATTTTAAAATACGTGAAGCACCTATCAGTTTTTATGAGTGACTAAACACGACTAATTTGATTAGTTGGCTTAGTTAAGAAAATCCAAGTTCCCCTTCTCCCAAACATTTTTCTTCGAAGGTTGCTAGATTCAAGTCCAAATGAAATAAACAAAAACACGTGCATGTATAATACAAAGCGAACTTTTTCATTGAACTTGAAGAAGAAACCTTTTCTTAATTCCTTTAACTTAATTTCGAGGAATCAAATGCTTGATTTGCAAGAGACTGAGGAATTTGGTTCTCAATCCTGCTGATCATTCTAGGAAATAAGGGCTTCCTCCGATCACACGATTCCTTTAGAAGAGTGCATGTGATATTGGGCTGTTTAAAACAAAAATGATGTCTTCATACACATGAGCAGTGTTAAACTCATTTCCCCCGGGTATCTCTTACCAATTTCATTTCACTGCATAAAAAATTAAACTGAGGTTAATTGTTATGAGTACAAATCTAAAGAAAAAATTTATTTCAATCAATAAGCATTGGTTTTAATGAAAAAGTACTATGATCATTTAAACATAAGATTTTAAGTTTAAGTTTGTGTGAATGCAGAAGATTAACTTGTTTGATGAAAAAACTTCTTAAACTTATAAACTTTATTTTTTTTTTTTAGTCTATCCAATGTCAACAATACTCCTTCATTCTCACATCCATGAGAGCCCTAATTAACAACAGTTTGTTAATATAATAATACGTGTAACTATATGTGTATGTACAGAGAGAGAAAGTACCGTTTACTTGGCAGGTTCATACTCCTGCGTGGAATCAGATTAGATGAGCAAGCAAGCAACCAATTTTTTTGACAGCTATGATACTTCGAATGTGATCCAACCATTATGCTCTTCTATGTCAAACCACATAAACTTATCAAATATAATATGAACTACAGGTATACCCTATATTATGTATTGCAAGAGGTCACTAAATCCGAGACGAGTTGTATGAGTGATTATTATGAATAATTTTATTGTTTTATAAATTCTAATATAAATATATTGATATATTCATGTTGATAAGAAATTAGAAAACCGCATCCCAACGAAAATTAACTACGAGCGCGCGCGCGCGCACAGATATGTGTGTGTGAACAAATGGATGGATAAGACATGAGCGTTTGTTCATCTGGCTAAGAAATACTACAATTTAGTGGCCTTCAAGAGTTTACCTGTCGTCTACGCAAGCCAACTTCTCGAATATGAACGGCAAAATGAAATTAACTTTTACGTTATACCCATAATTTTTTTAATTTAATATTATCACGTTACATTGCTAGATGTTTTCAGAACAACGAATTAAATTGATCACATAACAGGGAGTAATAATTTGTGGGCGATTGGGTTGTTATGAGATTGATAAGTCAATGTAAATAACAATGAATTTAATAATAATCAGGTTCATATATATATATATATAGGCAAAAATAATAATAATAACAGCACCAAATTTGGTACCCCATCATATTTCAAATAGAATTGTGTTCAATAAAAAAGATGCTTATAAGTAATTGAAAAAAGGAAAAATCTAAGTTAAGTATGTTTGTAAATACTTAATTTTTCGTGGGTTTAAAAAAAATTTAAAATTTCAGTTTAATCAGGGGGAAAAGTCAAACAAATTTCACTGATAAAAAGATCAAAATACCCTTTACTTATTATGCAGAATCATTAATCGTTAATTTTCTTACTGTACTTGTTAATTTATCAATATCACTTGTAAATTACATGCATTTGTTAGACAATCAGTAACATTAATTGTTAATTTGTTAATTTTACTTGTTAATTTATAAATTACAAAACCTATCAGTAATTTATAACTGATGTTAGTAAATTAATAAGTAAAATTTACAATTTAACAATTGATAATGTTGTTTATAATTGAAAAACTAATGTTAAGTCATATAATTATTGACATATTAACTCATGTAATTTACAACTTATATTGGTGAATCAACAAGTGCAGTAATAAAATTAACAATTAGTGATTCTGCTTAACAAGTGAAGGGTATTTTGGTCTTTTTACCAACAAAATTCTTTTGACTTTTCTCCCCTAAATTAAATTGATATTTTAAAAAAAATTTGGATCCACCTAAAATTAAGTTTCTACAAAGGTATTTGATTGAAATTCTCCCTTAAAAAAATCCAGCAAAATGAATTTTGCCAAAGTTTATCATAATTATTTGGCAAAATTAATATGATTATTTTTTTCCCAACATACTAAATTCAATTTTGATAAACATATTCATATGAAATAAATAATTAGAGCAACATTGATGACAATATAACTTCAAGAAGAAAAATAATATATCTGTTTATCATTAATGGGTATCTTTTTCCCATGAAACGCATGGAAGATATGGTAACAGTTTAGTAAAAAAAATGGTAATTTAATTTGTTTAACATTAAAACCCTATGAAAATATGCAAAAAAATATTTAAAAATTAAAAAGAAGGTTGATAGAGCTAAGTAAAGCGTGGAGAAAAGTATTTAAAAAATGATTGTACAAAACTAGATAGGTTACGTTCTCACTCCTTTACTATATAAAAGATATTTTTAATCAAACCATATAAAGTGATAAAAATTAGTTTTTTTAATTAAAAGTACAACAATATTTTAATTTTGCTCCTAATTATTATAAATAAAAAATAAATATCTTTTTTAAAATAAATTAATGAGAGTATTTATCTTTTTTCTTTCTAATTTAATAAAGGTATAATGGTTCATTCATTAAAAAAATGCTAATAATCTCTTATATTTAGAAAAAAAATATTTTAAAAGACTTTTTATATATAAAGACAGAAGGAGTAATTTATACCCCATGAAAATTATGACTCCTCATATTTTTTATATTTTATAGTGACATGGTGATGATGATTTTAGTCGGCTTATGATATGCTTTATTTTTTCTTTTATTGAGATGAATATGTTTACTGTATTAAAAAGAAATGTTAAGATAATAATTTTGCCCATTAATTTTATTTATCATTTTAAATCAATTCATTCAGTTTAAGTTGTGTCGTAATGATTTTTAAAGTTTAAAATTCATCTTAAATTCTTGTCTTTTAACGACATACATAATGCTTGAAGAACAAATCTGAAGCTGGATAGTGAATTTTGAAATGCTTTAAAATTTAGGATAAACATAATTTTCAGTTCATGTACTTTACTCAGGTTTTATATTTAATCTCTATATTTTTTTTAATATTTTAAGTTCCTATACTTTTATTTTTTATTATTTTTTATCTCTTTATGACCAAAATATGGAGACATTGGAAACTAAATAAAAGTGTAAAGACTTAAAACATTAAAAAAAAGTGTAAGGATAAAAAACAAAATACAAGTAAAGTGCAGAGATTAAAAGTTATATTTGCCCTAAAATTTATATAAACTATCATTGTCCTCTTACAAGCATAGCTTTTTCCATTTATATATCCATGCATGTCTGTGGAATGACAAGGTATTTTTAATGAGTGTTTGGAGTTCACTCCCTCCGTTGAGTGATTAAATGTTAAAAAATATAAGATATTTTTTTGATGAAAAAACATAAGATATTTTTAACATTTTAAGACATAATTATTGCATTTTTTAAATTATTTTATATTTATTTTAAATTGAAACATCTTATTAAATAAATGTAAATATAAAAAATGATATTAGTTCAAAGATAAATAACTACTTT